TTAATATTGAATTTGAATTGTGGGGCATGCATTTTTGTCTTTGTTAGTTTCCTATTTGATGAAAGCGCTTTTGGAAACTCTGGTACATTGATACATATATATCAAATGCACTATACGAGTCAATTTTAGTAACTGAGATAAAACAAGAGGCAGCCTCTTGATTGAGAGAGAGAGAGAGAGAGAGAGAGGGACTACTTAGGAGCTATACCTACCCTGCAACATCCGCCACCCCCCTTCATTGATGGGCCAACTCAAACATGAGATGAACTACTAGGTGGCCAGTAGTAAACACCATTGAGAAGTGAAATGTATTAATGGCTTTGGAGCTGTACTTCTGGGGAAAAGCAAGGAACTGGAGCAGATAACAAAGTTCTGAATAGTGTTGCAAGATTTGGAAAAAAAAACTCGTGGCATTCCTGTGTCAACTCTAGCTCCCTTGTCCTGCGTCTCATTCCGCTTAGTATATGGCCAAGGTTGGCCCTGTTTTAGCCTCGCTTGTCCAGATTTGGAAATCTTGGCCAAGACTCCACTGCCTTCTTGTGGCTAAAGCATCTAAAACATAGTGTAGGATGTAGTACTTGACCAAACATAAATTAGACTAGCGGATTGACTTGGAACTTAGTAAGTGAACTGGAAATGCTCTATGAGTTTGTGTTTACACTTGTGTGATGTTTAAAACTGCAGCATTTTCTTTGAACCCTTTAATATAATTGAAGCAAGAAACCTAACTTTTAGAAAAATAATACTAGAACATAGCTTGCTTTCCTTCATAAAGTATTATTAGATTTGATTATTCATGAAGTGTCAATGATTCACCACTTTTGGATCTCAATTTCCACATGAACCAAGTGGCTCTATCCAACATATTCCTCTGGATGCTTTTATAGAATTGGATGCCCCTTTCTCCTCTGAGAACATCCACATGTCGTCAAATATATGTCTGAAAGCCTTCATAAGTATGTGACAAGAAGATGTGTCTTCTTCAAATTAGACCCATAGTTCCTGGTTTGAGCAGAAAAAGAATACAAGAATTATGATAGAATCACACTTGTTGTATTTGATGAGAGTTGCACACAAACATAAGTTAATGTACTCTATGGAATTGTGGATCAAGAAGAACATCCCTTGAATGTGCTATTATTGGTTTCCATGAATAAGTAAGACATTCGTTTGTTATTGGACTTCTTGCCGCCTTAGTGGGCTTGTGTTATTTGTTGTATAAGGTGCATTTTTCGTCCTACAATGGCGTTGTTTGTTTAAAAACAAATAAATGATTCGAAGAGTAGGAGTTAGGATGCTTTTTTTAATATTTTGAGAACAAGATAGAATTTTTATGGCATACTGCCAGAAGTTCCTTTTTCTCTTGAATAATGTTAAGCATGGCCGTGGGTGCCTTCTGTAGGTTTTTCTCATTAAAATTCAAAGTTTAGCTTCAAAATGGTTCTTTCGGTATTTGGATAATATTAATAATAAAATAATTATGATAATTTTATTATGCAACTGCATTAAGCAGTTTTTCTTTTAGATTTTATCTCTTGTCCTTAGGATAGTATACCTTTTGGGATTTTCCATTAGCTTTTAGGGGTTTGTGTAGCATCAATTATAGAAAGCGACGTTTGGCACATGTGGATTCATCTCCCCTTTCTCATATTCTCTTAATTTTTATTTATTAAGTATTACAAAAGATTTTCATTTAGTTCAACATCGTTATCAAGGTTTAATCATGTCTTTGAAACATTCTCCAGCCTGGAATTTTGAGAATCTTATCTAGATCATGCTGACTCTATTAAATGATTGATATGATTTGCCAAATTTACCATGAAGGAACTTAGGCATTAGCAGTTCTTATAGGATAGGACATTGTGTATAACTGTTTCTGATGTCTGCCCTTTGTTGTAGTTCGTAAACCCATTGTGAAGGCATGAGACCTTGTAAATTTATTCGAATAAAAAATATTTCGAGCCATGGCTGTTCTCTTTCTATTTATTTGGAAATGTATACAATGAGACTATTTACTTCTGATACAATGAGGTAACAATCATCATTAACCATAAGATTTGAAATCGGGTGGTTGAGGATATGTCATTGTTTGGGCACAAAGCCCAAAATAAAATTTCTCAAATGTTGTGACACACTTTCATCTATTAGATTTCACATCCAATGACTAAAAATGATTGTGACCTCCTTGTATAAAAAATCAATGGTCTCGTACTATACAATACCATTTATTTGTGTGCTTGCTTGTGTTTGTGGTGTATGTATGCGTGCATGTATGTCTATATTTACATAAGCATGTATTTTCATAAATGCCTGCATATATGGATGTTGTATGCATGTTTACATTCATGCATGCATGCATTTATATTCTAGGGTTTAGTGTTCATGACAGTTGATGTTATTATACTTGTTTCTTTTGGTATTTTCCAGGTTCAGGATATATTTCCTTTTTCAATTGCATTTTCATCCGATGAAGGCCCTGTTTCAACACCATCAAGTAATATCTTGTTTCCCAAAGGGCAACCAATTCCAAGTGTTAAAATGCTTACTTTTCACAGAAGTGGTACATTTTGTTTGGAAGCATTTTATGCTAATCAGAGCGGGTTACCACCTGGCACATGTCAAAAAATTAGCTCTTTCATGGTATGGGCTCTCATTTTGGGAATACATTTTCTAGCCATTTGATTAATTTATCACTTGTTCCTTGAGCAAACTCAACCTTTGATTGTACTGACTCGCTGCAGTTAAATTTTGGTTTCACATTTGAGTGTAAACTGTATCTTTTTTCCTTTTTTGTGTAATATTCTCCACATTTCTGATGATTTCTTTGTGCCGGTAATGTTTTATGGGCTTCTAAGTTTCATTTTGATGTGTCAGCAGGAGCATATATAAGCCAGTAGTTATAGATAATCACAATTTGTTTTTGTCTTGTTGCTGTCAATATCAGAAGATATGGTATAAATTGATGAAGAGGGGTGCTTTTTCTCTATTTTTATTTGTATAAGATACACCTGTTAGTAAACCTCTCGTCAATGCACTTGGAGCCAATCACGTGCTTGATCCCTCCTTGTACGTGCACTATCGCCTGTCGCTATACATTTTCTTATTGAACCTGGGATGCATGCACTTCACCAATATCAGGCATTTTACGCACTCCAAATAGTTGTTCCTCATAGACCTCAATGAGAATCATCCTGCATGTAGGGCGTTCTTGAGTTGTCTGAGATAACACTAGAGGAAATATCATGGAGGTATTTTTAAGGAAAAAAACAATGAGATCTAGTACGATTGACGTTGATGATGTTGTGGTGGTACGTGGTCTTGCTAGGAAGCTCGGTGGGGCTTTGTTTGGTCAATTGCCCAGTACTAACCAATTATTTTTGGAGGACTGCCAATTAGGAGGTGACGCAGAGAGATGATAAGGCACTGAAATGTGAGGAACATCAGCAGATAGCTAGCTATTTATGATGCTGGGGCTGTAATCCAAGAAAAGAAGAGGATTGGTGTTGTGATGATTTCAAATTAAAAAATCGAAGTTCAAATTTCAAACCATTCGACATTAGAGTATTAGACCATACTCCATAGCCCATACCATAATCCAAACTCCATGCACTCCATAGTCCATACACAGTAAAAATAGGAACATATAATCCAAGACGGCAAGACATCGATTCATCATCAAGAAAAGGAAAGAAATAACACATAGGAGTTAGGACATATCAAATGTCCATAGTCCACAACGCTGCATACACTACTCCATACTCCATAAGTTCATATCCATAGTGCATGCATCGTTACAATAGTTACAAGTTTATTACTTACATACACACAACCAAGAGGAGGAAAAGAAAAATGAAAGAAATATAGACTTGAAGACTCAAAAGAGTCTTCAATCATTAGTCATCATATGAAAAGCAGGGTCAGCTGCATCATATGCATCAAAGTCGAGCCTATCATCATTGAAATCATCTCTTCTCAATATAATGGTCCTTCTCCTATGTCTTTTCTGAATTTGTCTCTGCTTCGTCCCCTTCGTCCTCCACCCTCGTCCTCTGGGAAGAAGATCTAGTGGGCATAGAAGGTTGGCTGCTGTCCTTGAAGCCTCCATGACCATATCCCATGTCAATCCTTCATGCCCCTCGATATCATTGTCATCAACCAACCACTCCATAGCATTCGTCTATATTTTTGATCTGAGGGGGTATCTCTTATCTCTCTTAGCAAACCTCTCCCTCAAGTATCGATTATACTTCACATAAACTAAGTCATTGAGCCTCTTTGATTCAAGCCTATTTCTTTTCTTTGTATGAATTTAATAAAATCAAATGAAACTAATTAATTTAATACTATAAATTTACAATTGACATAGTAATCAGTAATTACTAACAAGTAACTACTAATGTACTAATACAAATTAGTAAATTGTAAACTAATAAAGTAAACTAAATTACAATCTCAAAAGTACTCCAATTCCGCTCACAGCTGGACGAGGTAGTGGTTAGGCTCATGATTTGAGTGGCCAACTTTTGTAAATTTGGAGCACTACACCCATGTTGTATCCACCAATTGGGTGCAAATTGATCATGAATTACAATTATATATGAAATATAAGAAACAAACAACAAATATTAAACTTGAACTTGAGGAACTTAAGAATATTATATCTGGACCAATTTTGGCCCTTTACCTCACTGCCATTGGACACCCGAAAGGCTTCAATGAGCACTTGTAACTTACTAGCTCACCAGCGCATGTAATGTCTTGGATATCCTGATTAGGGACTAGCACATCTAGACACTTATTAAACCAGTTGCATGCAATGTTTGATGTAGCTGACTATCCCACTTCTCGTCAATAATCTCTCAAAGTGGCTCATAGCGGCTCGCATCATCATCTAAATTACCGGCTCTCTCTCTCATGCATCTTTCCATTGCCTTATATATGTAGCCCATGGGTTTGTTACTATCATTCATGCGAAGGAGCTTGACAAGAAGAAACAAATACCTCAAGAATGCCCTTCACCCTCGCCAAAAAGCCTTCAAAGGGACAATATGTCTCACCTTCTTTCCTTTCTGATCCTTGGCCTACTTGCATGCTCTCCAATCATCCAAGGTAAACATTTGCCTTAATTGGACTCTCCTCAAATGTATGCAATCTAGGCGTAGGTAGCAGGTAGCAAATATCATGACCCCAAGTCGCACAATCTCCTTCTTTATAAATCTGCGCATCATGCTGCTGGTGAGGGTGTGGCTATTAATAAAAGTTGTAACTGACCTAACGTTCTTAACTGCATCTAAAATATCGCAAAAACTGTGAAGAGCCTAAAGCATGAGGTCTATACATTGTGTTGTGTATGGTGTCCAACAGATATTAGGGTAAGCTAAGCGCAACAAATTAGCAACGACAACATTAGGAGCAGGATTATCTTTGACAACCTATATAACATGCTACTCCCCCACCTCCTTGATGCCTTTCTCCATCACTTCAAATATGTAATAGGCATCATGGCTATCATCGGAGACATCAATAGACCCAAAAGAAATAGTCCCTATAAGACAAATTTATTTGACTTCTCTTCTTCTTATCACTCAAAGTATCGGTCATAACAGAATCTTCATATTGAGCCCATGCATCCTTCTGTGACTTCACAATCTCCCTCGTGACATTCACCTCTTTTTTCCAAAGAGGCTTTGAAACTCATATGAGGTTGGGGGACTTCAACCCAGACTCAAATTGGTCAATTGCCTCTACCAAGGTGTTGAAAAGAATGCCCACCTCATAAAACCATCTAGCATTGTATTGTGTAGTTCTCTCTCTTTTCCTTCTTGATTCTATTCTCAATAGTTGTTTGCTTCTTTGTTTTCTCACCTGCAACCTCAGGGTCAGGCCGGGGCAAGAAAGAATCCATAGGCCCCATAATCCAAGCCCTCTTAGGCCCCCCACCCCCAAAACCAACTACAACTCCCTTTCCCTTCCCCATAGTCTAGGATGTAGCAAGCTGCTCCAGCTCTTCACAAGCTACTCCAGCTCTTCACACCCCTCCTAATAATTATCATCATCATTATAATTGACATGAACCCCATACCTCAGCTCTGCCATGGATGCCTCTCTCTCCTCTTTTTTCTTTGTTTACAATAGTCATAAACTTTTTTATTTCTTTAATAGCATCAAAAACATTTTTACATGGGGCAACATCCCCCCTGATACCGGCAAGATGTTTCTTAAACCAGTTTTTACCTCTTTTTGTTTCCTCCTCACTATAATTGCATCTTATGCAATTTTTATTTAAAGGATTCAGGTTATAGTCATATTTCCAACCCAGATCGCCACTCCTCTTAAATCCCGAAGAAGACATTTCAAAATAATATAAGCACTCTATAAAACAAGTTTTTTCACTAACCTTGATTGCTCGATCTCCAAACTTCCACCTTTGAAATATTTTCCTATCTCAAAATCTTCTAAAAGAAAACCTCTAATAGTCCTAAAAAAATCTCCAAAACTAAATCTAATCTCAATGGGTGATTTTTGGATCGATTTCTCATAACTTTGAGAAACCCTTTGATCCTATGAAAATTATAAAATTCTAAGTTTCTTGAGGTTTTTATATCTCTAAAATGGTTCAAATGGGGATTAGGTTGGATGTGAACCTACCCTTCATTTACATTTCTTTTAAAAAAAAACCCAAAAATGTCCCTCAACGAGGGCATTTTCGCCCTTGGGCAGGGTGGCCCAGGGTTGGGTGTTGGGGAGTGCCTAGGCAGGGCCCCATGTGCCTAGGTGGCCGGCCAGGGACAGGCCTCCTAGGTTCCCTGGCTAGGCCTAGGCGATGCGCCAGGGCCTGCCTAGGTGGCCGCCTAGGAGCTAGGCGGGCCACTTTTTGGAACATTGGATGATTCCCTGATTTGTGTGGAAGTTTCATTGGATGCTTTCCCTAGCATTATTTTGTTTGCCCTTGGTCCAATTGCAAGTAGATAGCGGTATTTGGTAGAACTTCTTACTTGTGTGAAAATAAGATGAATCGGGACCCTTATCATCTGTCGTCATATCCATGTTTTGTCACTCTTGAGTACTACCCCATGGAGATAAGAGTTGAACCCTTTTCCAACCTTGTGGTTGGTAGACTAGGAATACCCCTTATGATTGCTTTTCCACTGATTGGTAGCATCTGGGAAGTTTTTGAGGCCCTGCCCGTGGGACAGTTTCTATTTGTTGGCAAAGCTGATGCTTTTTTGATGATATGAACTCCAAGAAAGTGAGAAGTGAAAAAAAGAACATATTAAAGCAAATAGATGGGTTTTATATGCCTGATAACCTTAACTAACCCAGGGGTATGTTATGGTTGCAGAAAATCACAGATGAATCTTAATATAATTCATTGAAAGTTTTGATGCTCAAATTGTTTGTGTATTTTTAAGGGGATTCCTGGACTCACAGAATGAGTGTTTATGAGTAGGACTGGGAGATCATGCTATGTTTTGTAAGGAATGGGAAATTGACACACAGACTCTTTTGTGCAGAGGCTTTGCCTAAAGAACTGAATGACAGCTATATTTTGTGTTTTGTGTTTCTTCTTTTGGTTGAGAGGGACTTACTATGCATATGTGGAGTCTATTGCATAAGACTTATGAATGGCAATGGGGATG